GCAGAGGGCTCCCTCTCCCTGTGCCTGGGCTGTCAGCTGGCTGAGGTTCTCCCAGGAGCTCTCACTGCCCCAGCTGTCCTTGTCCATCCACCCCACATGCAACAAGGGTCGTCCCCAGGGTGTGAGGGGAGGGCTGCACGGCGTGGGGCTGGCTGACCCTTGCCAGCTTGGCTCCTTTTTGGGGCTTTGCCACCACTCTGCACCCCCTGACCCCCCCGGCCATCCCCGTGCAGCTGCTCCAGGAGATCGCGCTCGTCCGGCACAGAAATCCAGATGTCACCTTCCTCCCCCCCTTCGCTCCCTTCCTTCCTCCACCCTCCCGGCTCCTCGTGGCTCCTGCTCCCGGCCCCTCCTGAACAAAGGCCCTGTAGCCATGGTTAATAATCCCCACAGAAAGGCCCTGCAGAAGAGGAGAGGAAGGAGAGGGGAGACACAAAGGAGCCGCTGACAGCCCAGCTGAGGAAGGGGGTTGGAAGGAGGCGTTTTCCTGAGCTGAAGGACAGAGGTGTCGAGGAGGGCTTTCAAAGGTGGACAGAGACGGGCTGGAGGTACCCCAAGGTGCCCTCGTGGCATGTAGGATACCCCATTCCTCATTGTCTTCCACCCAGGGAACGGGCAGCCAGAGGCTGGGCAGCCCAGCCAGGTTCCTGTACTTACCCCAGAGCCCTCGAGCACCCCAAAATGCAGCACCAGGGCCTGGCAGGAAGGTGCCCAAGGGCAATGATCCTCAGCACTGCCGTGGCCCAGCGGCAGGGAAGCAGCCGGCCGCTCCCGGGGCGGTGTGGGAAAGCAGAGCGCTGGCCCACATCCCGTCCCTTCCCTGGGGAGCGGGGCCCCTCTCGGCCCTGCCGGTGTTGTGTGAAGAGGTGCAGGCCTGGGCGGATGCAGCCGAGGCTTCCGCCCTGCACGGCTGCCCTCCATCCCTCCTGGAAGCGCACGGGGAGCCGGGACAGCCAGCGGTCCATCGGCACCGCCACCGGCACTGGCTGCAGGGAGCCGGCACAGAGCATCCCAGGCACCCCACAGACCCCTCCGGAACCCCCCGAGCTGCCCTGGGCCCCATGGGCTTGGCTGGGGAGTGCAGAGGTTGGGGAAGGCACAGGGCCCCCTGTCCCCACCTGGGACACGTCAGGACACGCACAGTGAGAGCACAGCCCAGCTCCCTCTGGCAGCATCCCCCGGTCCCATATCAGCAGGGATCTCGCTGGAAAGGTGGAAGGGGCTGAGGTGTGTGCTGGGATGCAGCCTGTGCTCAGCCCCAGGCCCCGTGCCTGGCTCTGTGCTCCCCTCTGGCTGTGGAGAGCCAGGCTCAGCGGGAGCCAGGGGAGAGGAGGCAAATGCAATTACACACTTCCAGATCATTCCTGCAACCTGCGATGCTCCGATAACGCTGTGGAATCAGCCCTGCCCTGGGCACGGTCCTGTGCATCCCAGGTTTCCAGCAGCTGTGCCAGGGACTGGCAAAGCCCCGCTGCTGCCAGGGGCAGAGCTGCCTGCCCGGGCACAGCCTCAACTGAGAGGTGGCAGGAGGGATGGAGGAGGAGAGTGCTGGGATCTGGAGGGGCCCAGGCACCAATATTCCTTCCACAGAGAGGGAGAGCTGTGAGCTCTGCTCTGTGCCTCAGGTGGGTCCAGACCTGTGCTCCCTGACCTTTCCACCCTGGCTGCGTGCGTGGGACCAGGACAGGGGAGCCTAATCCATGTTTGTGTGCGTGGCTGTGAAGGGGTGCCAAAGCCAAATCCATTAAGCAAGCAAACAAACAAGAGGGCGTGAGATCAGGCAGCAGAGAGGGAAGATGAAGGTGGCCAGCCCCGAGCCCACTGGGTGCCACACACAGCGCAACGGGGCGATTTCATGCCATCTGTTCCTGCCCTGCTTTCAAATCCTGCCCGTCTTCCCCAGAACCACTAGTTTGTTAGGGGGGTGAAAAACCCCAAGTTTTCTTCAAAGTTTAACAGACTGAAGCCCAACCAACTGGAGGCACAGCCATGCAGTGGGAGCAGGAGGCTGTTTGAGGGTGGCACGTCCCCCGCCGCAGTGGCTGGTTGGCCTGTTTTCTCCAGGGACGGGCACTGCCCTTTCCAACTGCTGGGAATTTTCCTGCAGAGGTTTTCTTAGCAACATTCTGCTTTATTTTTAACACGGAATAAAAGTTAGCCCCGGAACAAAATGCACGAGCAGTGTGTCATCTGGGTCCTCCCGCTTGTTTGTTTGACTTGGTGGGTGCTTTCCAAGCAGCCCTTGGGCCCCCTTCCCTCACAGGGTGGCATTTGTGGGGCTTAAATTGGGGTATTCTGTGCCAAGTGGAAGATCCCTTTCCCTGCTCCGAGGGGAGCAGAGCCCAAGGCTCCTCTAATGCTGCATCCCTTTGGAGGGAAAGAGTGAGCACGTTGTCAGGGGGTCCCCGAGTGCTGGGCACACACTCAGGGGGTGGCTTTTCCCACCCACAGACAGGGAGCTCCTGCCCACCAGCTGTGGAAGCATCCCAACCCTGCAGCCGTGGGGCTGGAGAGCAGCTCCTGAGCATCCTGTGCATGACAGCACAGCTCCCTTGCACTTGTTCCTCCTGGCGAAGGGAGGAGGCCTCCCCTCTCCAGCAGCACCACAAGGGCTCCGAGTCTTATCGCTGCCCAGCATTGCCATTTTAAGTAACTAATCCTATGGGGAAAAAATTTAATCATTTCCGATGAATCATCAAGTCTTTGGCTGGGAAAGTGTTGTGGGGGGGGTGCTGGTCAGGCATGAAGAGGAGGAGGAGGAGGCGGAGGAGGAGGAGGTGGAGGAGGAGGGCATGGGAAGCGCCGCTGCATGGCACCAGCGGGGGAGCAGGGCTGGGGCTGGGGGCCAGCACAGGGGTGCTCGGGGATTCCCGGGAGGAATGCTGTGCCTCAGGGGAACCTGCCAGCTCAGCGGGGTCAGAGATAGGTAGCCAGTGCTGCCCGGGCCCTGGAGCGCAGATCATGCTGCAGGGAAAGCAAGCAGAGGAGAGCAAAGGATATGCAAAGGTTCAGAGCCCCTGGGGTGGGAGTGGAAGGAGAGCGCTGAGCTGGGGACAGCCCTGAGCCTGGCCCCGGGTGGGGTGATCCCGAATCAACGAGCTTTGGGAGTCCTGTGAATGGGTAGTGAGTACGGTGAACAGAAGGACTTCGAAGGAGAAGGAAACCCCAGTGTTTTGTCCTCCAACACAGCCCCTCCAGCTCTGACTGACCCGGGGGAAACTGAGGCACGGAGCTGGGCTGTGACGGGGCAGGGGCACCGGCCCCGCCTGTCCTGCGTGGTTTGACTGTGGGCAACTCGCAGCACCTGAGGGGGTTTGTTGTGCTCCTCCTCGGGCCGCCGGAGGGGCTGGGCTGCGTCCGGCTGGGTGATTACCCCTGGATAATGGGAGCCTTGTGCAGCCCTGCGAGCCCCCCCGCCCCCGGGCCAGCAGTGCTGCCCCGGCCCCGGCGGCGAGCAGCGTCTGCACAGCCGCCCCATTCAGCGGCAGCTGCGCGGGGGCTCGGCCGCGGCTCCCTGTGCCCTGGGGCCCTGCCTCGGGGACAGCGTGGGGCTCTCTGTGGGGCTGGGGACACCGGTTTGGGGTAGCAACCCCGCAAACCTCAGTGACCTGCCCGGGACAGCGCCTGGGACACGACCCTGCTGCGCCCCGCGGACCCCGCTGTCACCAGGTGCCTCCTCAGAGCCCAGACAATGACAAAGAGTGGTTTCCCCCTCTGTTTTTGTGTTTGCTCTGCGGGTTCAAAGGTGACCCAGCAGCTGCGGCTGGGCTTTAGGGCTGAGCTTTAGGGCCGAGTGCGGGGCTGAGCGGGGGCAGCAGGTCACTCCTGATCGTCGCCGCTGACACCTGCACGCTGGACTCCCGGGGACCGAGTCCCTGCCGCCGGCATTCCCCAAACCCCAAGGAAAAACAGCCCGATCCCAAACACTTTGCGAGCGATTCCACCTCCAGCGCCCGGCTGTCTGCCTCGCTCAGCCCGCGCACGCCCGGGCAGGCAGGAGCTGGCAGGAGCTGCGAGCCCCCTCCGGCACCGCTGGGAACGCCTGGAATACGCAGGGCTGTGCTGGGAAGGGGGGGGACGCCGGGGAGGGGGTGTGGGACCCCCGAGCCGAGCGCTGCCCGCTGGCGTGCGGGGCCGGGGCACGGCGCTGCGGGGATGGGGCACGGCGCTGCGGGGATGGGCGCGGCGGCGCCCGGCCGGCTGCCGCTGGGGGGTGATCAGGGGCCGCGGGCGGTAGGCAGGCACCGCGCCTTCCTCCCTCCTCCTCCTCCTCCTCCTCCTCCTCCTCCTCCGCCTGACGTCAGCCCCGCGGGCCCCGCTTCAGTCGCGGGCGGCCGGCGGTGGTGGCGGCGGGCATGGCTGGGGGGCGGCGGGCGGCGGGGCTCGCCCTGGGCTGGGGCTGCTGCCTCCTGCTCTGCTGCGGTGAGTCGGCTGCGGGCCGGGGCCGGGCGGTGCGGGGCGGTGCGGGGCGCGCACCTGCGGGAGCGCTCCGGGGCGCGGCGCGGGGGGGATGCCCTTCGCCCCTGGGGGACACCGGCTGCGGGGGGTGCGGGGCTGCTCTTTGCTCCCCGGGGCTGCGCTTTGCTCCCCGGAGGGGCGGCAGCCGGAGGGGGTTTTTCTCCCCCCACCCGGGGCCAAGCCCGAGCAGCCCCGGAGCGCTGCGCCCCTCGGGCGGTGCCTGGCGCGGCGCCGGGAATGCTCGGATCGCGGGGCCGGGGCAGAGCCCAGGTGGGATCCGCGCGTGTCCCCGCCCGCACGGCCCCGCGATCCTCGGCAGGGTGGGGCTGGGGGCCCCGTCCCGCTCTGGGGGCCCCTCTGCAGCCCCCCCCAAGGTTGAGGGGTGCCCCACGTGCGTTCAGCGAGCTGGTTGTTATTGGGAGGCATCCACCCCTTTCCTTCTAAGGAGTTTTCCCCTGAGCGCTGTGTTTCTCTTGGCTTTTTTAGCGCTTTCTTTTTTTATCCACTTTCCAGTCCATTTTCACCCTCGGGGGGTGGCTGCGCTTCCTGCCCTGCCCCTCTCCCCGCATCCCTCCCTCCCTCCCCTCGCCGGGGGCCCGGGAGCGGTCCCGGTGCGCCGGCTGCTCCCTTGCCCCGCCGTGCTGCGGAGGTGGCCCCGCCGCTGGGAACCTGCCCGGGCCGAGGTGTTGGAGCCAAAGTCAGGCTCAGAGCAGAGTCTAAAGCAGGCTGCTCCCACCCCCGGCCCGTGCCGGGATCCCCTTCCCACAGCACATGTGCCGAGCCAGGAGCCTCTCAATGGTTGGCGGCGTCGGTGTGTTTGGAAGCCCAGCCACGTGAAAAGGCTTGATGCTTCCCAGAAGCACGAGGGGCCACAGCCAAGACATTCCCAGGCCAGACAGTGCTGCCGGAGCGGGGGGCTGAGCCCACCCTGGGGCTGCCAGAGCCACCCCAGCCCCTTCTGCACCGCGATCCGGCTGTTAGAGGGGACTCGGGGTGTTGTCACCGAGCTTTGGGGTGGGGTTGAGAGCTTGGCCTCTCCCGGTGCACATGACGGGGTCCTGACGGGGCGGTGGGGTTGTTTTGGGGTGCAAGGTGCTGGTCCCTGCGGCAGCAGAGCCCTGGCTCCATCCCCATCCCAGGGCAGGGCTGGGCTGGGGCGGAGGCTGTTGGGCGCTGCTGATGGTGCTGCTCCTCGCGGGGCCGGGGCTCTGCACCCTGTTCTTTCTCTCCACGAAGAAGAAGACGGGGTGCAGGTGATGCTGCTCTTTGTGAGCTGGGGCACCCCGGCCCGGAGATCTGCGCAGGAGGGGCAGCTCTCCCGGGGAACAGGAGGGTAGCATGTGTGCCTGTGGCTGGGAGCAGGCGGGATCTGGCCGCAGCTGGTTTCCCTGAGAGGGGGAACGCAAACCCGCGGAAACCTCAGGCATCCCACGTGCGGCTCCAGACACCCTGCGGTGCCCCTCCTCTCGCTCCGGGCCGGGGGGCTCAGCGCCGGGGGCTCCTCGCCGCCGCCTCCCCGCACACCTCGGCCCTGCAGGAGGCTGGCGAGGGACTTGCGCCGCTCCCCCACCCCCTTTCCCGGGCTCTAAAAGCAGATCTTTGTTCTTGTGGAGCTCTGGCTGCCGGCCGGCTGTCGGCCAGCCAGATGGAAAGGCACGGGGGGCTCTCCTTCCTTCCCTGCTCGCTGGCTGCAGACGTCCTCCCTTCTCCAGATCTCCGGGTCTCCCGCTGGAGCTGTGCCAGGCGCTCGGGGTGGACGGAGCTCACTCAGCTCTGCAGCTGGGCTGCTTGGGGGTTTCCAGGTCCCCTCACCAGACCTGGTGTCTGCAGCTGTGCTGGGCACGGGGGAGGATGGCCAAGCCCTCCAGAGCCTGCTGTGCCAGGGTGCCTGTGCCCAGCGCCTCTCCAGCTTGCCCACGCAAATAGCAGAAAGGTCTCGGAGCTGTAGAAGGAAGCCTTGTGCCCCCAGGGTTGGGGGGGACCTTGTGTCCTCCCAGCTGGCTGCTGGGTGCTCCTTCCAGCTTGTCCCGGAGGAGGTGGGGAGCAGCGAGCCCTTGTTCCAGGCAGGGTGGGGGCTGCAAGCGACCGTGTCAGCCTCCTCAAGGGCAGTGTGGATGGTTGGGAGGGATGTGTGCCTCATGCCAGCCCCAGATGCCAGCCATTCTCCAGCTCTGAGCTCATGGTTTCGGTTGCTCTGCTGCCTGGTTGAGGGCCCTCATGCCGAGCGGGTCAGGGGGAGGGCCGGCAGCTCTCCCTCTCCCAGGGGCTGGCTCTGCCCTGGGCTGGATGGAGAGGCAAAGTCTGGCCTAACTGCCTGCAGCTCAGAGAGTCACAGCTCGGGAGAGGGTGCAGAGTGGCAGCAGGGCCACACCCCAGCCCCAGGCTTGCCCAATTCCTGCCCAGTTCTGCAGGTGCCTTTGTGCACCAGGCAGCCAAATCCTGGCTGTACAGGGTGGGCAGGTGCCTGCAGTTCAAAGTTATCTTTTCCTATGTACACTGGGTCTAATTTCCTGTCCCCAGTGCGCTCTTATCTCTGGGCATCACCTGCTGTTTTTCTAGCACCTTCTTTGCCGTGCCATGCTTTGCTCATCCCTCTTTGCTTAGTGCCAGCTGTACCGTGCCCATGGGATGGGCCGGGGCCAAAAAACTGTCTGTTGGGCTGGTCCTGCGAGTCCGGGGCCTTTGCTGTGGCAGAAGGGGCTCCTGGCTGTGTTTTGGCGCTGTGCCACCACGTACCCACTCCAAACAAAGAGCAGTTTGTGGACACGGGCGCTGCCCTTTGAAGTTGCCTCGGTGGCTGTTACCGAGCCCGCGCTATCACGGGAGATGTTGACACAGCTGCTTCCTCCAGGCCTCTTGTCCCCAGCTCCCGTACCTGGGCTGGCTCTGTTGCTGGGGGACCTTCTGCAGGGCCCTGTGCCAGCCCAGGGCGTGCAGACCCCCCTTGCTTTGTCACCCGCGGGGTTGGTGGCGGTGACACTCCCGGCCTTGTTGTGATGCCGCCCTTGCCTCGGCTCTGCCCGACTGGGGCTGAGCTGCTCCCAATCCCTTGGGAAGCTGCTCCGTTCCCTGTCCTGGATCAATAGCCATTACCTTGCCCATCCGTCCTGGAGCGTGGCCAGGAGCTCCATTACTGCTGCGGGCGGCTGGGCTGGCAGGGAAGGTGGGGTGCAGGGGTGGGCCAGCCCCACTCTCAAGGGTGCAGGTCCCGTGCTATGGATGGGCAGAGCTTGGTCTGCAGCGTGGGCAGAGAGGGGCTTGCCTTGGGAATGCTGCAGGGATGGGTTCTCCAACCACTGGGTTCTGGATTCCTGTTGTGGAGGGAGCTGGGAGTCCTGTCTGTGCCATGGCTGTGGTGTTCTGGGACATGCTGCCCCCCTGATGGACCCTTGGAGGGGGAAAGGGAGCAGCAGGGAGCCACAGCTGGCTGGGACACCCCTCCTGAGCTGCTGCCCTGTGTGCCCATCCTGCTGGGGAGGAACACAGCACCTCATTCATGCCCCAGCTCACAGGACCGCTGTGGGGGCTGCACAGGCTGATGTCAGGGCTCCACTCCTGGGATGTGGGAAGGTGCAGCCTTTGTGCCACCAGCTTCAATCTCCAGCCCCTTGCCCTCCTCTGCTAACCTCCTGACAGCTCCCTGCCTTGGGGACTGTCTTGGGGACAGTAAGACCCTGGGCAGGGTGCAGCTGCTCCCTGCCTCTGTGTTGTGCAAGGGGCATGGGGGTCAGAGATCCTGCTGCCCGTTTCAGAAAGGCTGGGATGCCGTGGGCAGGGCAGGTCTGGGGGGGCTGCAACAGCAGCGGGGTGGGTGGATGTCTCCAGGTGTCCTGGGGACACCGGTGGTGTGAGCACGACATGCCTTGTCCCCTCTTTGGGAACAGGATTGGTACCTGAGCCCACGGGCTCTCTGTGGATGCTGAAGGCAGCGTGGCTGGCACTCCTGCTGGGCTGGGTAATGGCTTGGGGCACATCTGATTAGATCATTAGATTCTGTGATTAAGCCTAATAGAGCTTTTAAGTTTGTAGCTGGGGCTGCTGTGGTGATGTGCTGATGGCTCCAGCTCTGGCAATGGTCTGCCCAGGGCTCGCTTCGCCTCTTGGGAGGGATATTTTCTGCTGAGAGATCCCCAGTCCAGGGGACACTGGCACAGGACATGGCTCTGCCCCACACCCTTTGGGGGATGGAGATGGGGACTGGCACAAGGGCTTCCTGCCCCTACCAGCAGGTTCTGTCCCACAGCTGCAGCCAGCAAGCTGGAGGTCTCCACACCAGCCGTGGTCGAAGTGGAGATCGGGGGCACGGCCAGGATCGAGTGCAACTTCTACATCCCTGGGAATGGTTCCTACAGCTACATCGACTGGTTCTACGTGAGTGCTGGCCTGGCAGAGCAGAGCTGGGCAGTGGGCTGGGGGCACAGCCAGCCCAGGGCTTTCCCCCGGGCTCCCCAGCCCAGCCTCCCCTCCTCGCCTTGCAGGTGGACCGCAGCAACAGCCGGGTGAGGCTGTGCCACGTCACCGACAGCGAGGTCCTGAAGGACGACACGGAGTACAAGGACAGGCTGTCGGTGGGGGAGGACAAGGCCCTGTCCATCAGCAAGGTGACAGTGCAGGATGACAGGACCTTCGTGTGCCAGGTCGGAGCGGGGAGCTCCGGCGTGGGCGAGAGCCACACTGAGCTCAGCGTCTACAGTGAGTGACGGGGCAGGAGGGCAGCACAGCTGCTCTGCGGGGCTGGGGGATCCCACCCCATCCCTCCTAACGCCTGCGGGGTGTCTTCTCTTTCCAGAGGTCCCCGAGACCCCCGTGATTGAGCCCAACACAGGAGGCATCTCTGTGCTGAACAGTGACAACTCAGAGGTGAGGAGCGGCCCCGCACGGGGCAGGGGGAGGCTCCCTGCTCCCCTCTCCCCGGGGGAGCACCCCTGTGCTCAAGGCTGGCTGTGCCCCCACAGATCGCCAAGTGCAAGAGCAAGAACAGCTTCCCGCCCGCCAACATCACGTGGCACAAGAACGGGGAGCAGCTTCACCTGCAGGAGAACCGTGAGTTGGGTGGGGATGGGGAACCGCCTCGGCAGAGGGGCCAGGGTGCTTGTGCTGCCCCGGGGCCTCGTCGGCTGGGGGCTGGCAGCCCCAAGGAGGGGGTGGCCCCTGTTTGCCGTGGCTGGGGACAGCGGCTGTGTCCCCTGTGACCCCTGCAGAGGTGATGTACGGGCGGACCCGCGAGTCCAGCGGGCTGTACACGGTGACCAGCACCCTGTTCGACACCGTCACCCGTGAGGACCGCGACTCCCGCTACCACTGCACCGTGCACTACTGGCTGCGGGGGCAGAGGCACTCCCTGGAGTCCCAGAAGGTCCAGATCACCGTCTTCTGTGAGTGAGGGGCCAGAGGGGGTGGTCCTGCTGCCTGGTCAGCGGGGTTTGGCACTGACCCTGCCCCTGCCCTGTCCTCAGACCCCGCGGAGCACCTGAAGCTGCAGGTCGTGCCGTCCTCGGAGCTGGTGAAGGAAGGGGACAATGTGAAGCTGGTGTGTGAGGCTGATGGGAACCCACCTCCCGTGTTCAGCTTCTTCAAGAGACAGGTGAGGCCAGAGGGGGCACCTGGGCACCTCTGCCTCGGCAAACACCTCGTGTCCTGGTTGCTCCTGTGGGGAGTGGGATGCTGAGGGCTCTGCTTTCTCCCCACTGCCTACAGCAGGACAACAAATGGCAGGAACTGCCATCGTTGGCAGAGCCTGACAGCGGGGTCCTGACCCTGCACGGCGTGGACAAGAGCAGCAGTGGCCTCTACAAATGCGAGAGCCTGGACCTGGATGACATGACAGAGCTAAAGCAGGAGGTGGAGCTTGTTGTGAACTGTAAGACAGCGGGGTGGGACCCTGTGGAGCTCGTAGTGGGTGCCTCGTGCCTCCTGTTCACCCTGCCCTGCTCTCCATCCCTCTCCTAGACATCGAGGGGGTCCGTGTGGAGATGGAGCCGTCCAACCCCCTTCGGGAAGGGGGCAGTGTGACCCTGAGCTGCGATGCCCACAGCCCTGTGGCCCTGGACTACCAGTGGAGGGATGAGAAGGTGAGCAGGGTTCTGTTGTGCTCAGGCTCAGCCTGGGCTTTGCAGCAAACTGGGCAGAGCCAGGAGCTTGCTGCAGAGTCAGGAGCTTGCTGCATCTCTCCCAGGGGAAGGATTCCCACTTCCAAGGACCTGCATTGTCCCTCTCTACCTTGTTGCCTCCTGGCCAGCAGTGCAGGGAGGTCCTGTGCTTGCAGGCTGAGCGTGGCAGGGAGGCCTGAGCCCCTGTGTGAGCTGAGCACAGAAGTGCCTGGTGCCCGGGGCTGATGGCTGGGGGCCTCCCTTCCCAACAGGGCAGGAAGGTGGCGGAAGGGAACCAGCTCTTCCTGAGCAACCTCACCTTTGAGACCCCCAACAACTTGAGCTGCAAGGTGATGGCCCCGAGCGTGCCAGGGCTGGAGCAGAGCAAGCAGGTGTCCCTGGCTGTCGAGGGTAAGAGCTGGAGTGGGGGTGTTGCCTAAAATCAGAAATAATTCTCTGGACAGTTTTGAGTGCAGAAAGGTGGAAAACAGCTCTTTAACTGTGGTGAGACTTTGGGGCACAAAATGTGTTGCACACCCCGACAGCACAGGCCTTTACAATTTGTATAACACCATTTAATTATAACATTTGGACGTTACCTTGTTGGTTACACCCAGCCCCAAAACTGCCTGTGCCCTCATCCCACCCTCACCACACCTCCCGAATTCGAGTCAGTGGTCACAAAACAACCACCCCTTCATCCCCATCCTCCTCCTCCTCCTCATCTCTGTCCTTCTTGGAGCGGCTTCAAGGCTTCTTCAAGTTTTGACTTGGTTATATCAAGTGGAGTGACCCTGCTGTGTCTTACTCTGAGTACCTTCTCTAACAGATAAGATGTTTTTCACCCCACGAAAATCTTTGCCTGTTGGAATTCTCCCCCAGAAACGTTAAGCAGCATTTTAGGAGTCTAATACAAAGGTGCTTAGTGGGCTAAAAGTGCTGTGCTTAGAGAGCTGTGCTAAAATTCTATATAATACAGAGTTTGAGGCGTCAGGTGGAGGTGTAGGCTGACTGAGGCAGCCCCTGTTTCCCCAGGGAAGCCACGGATCGTGGCCATCAGCTCCCCGCTGTACGTGCGGCAGGACGAGGTGGTGAACCTGACCTGCAAGGCCATCGCCTTCCCCCGGCCCTCCGTCCACTGGAGCGTCAACGGCACGGTGAGACCTGGGGAGGGGGGCCAGGCTCTTTAAAGAAAATTCCTGAGACTCAGTCAGTGAGTTTTAGCAGGCAGAATTCCTGTTGTTATCACGACGTCGGATGCACGAGAATCTGATTTCTTCCAAAGCGTGCGTGCAGAGTTGCCAAAGCCTCTTGATTTTATTTAGTCACCTAATTAATAATTCAAAGCATCGTCTCATACTGTCACACCCACCTCCAAAACTGTCCCTCCCTTAGTACCACCCTCGACAGTCGAGTTGGAGGTCCCAAAGACCCCTTGTCTTCGTCTTCCTCACTTATTCCGTGGTCTTTGGCACAGCATCACACCTTCTGGAATGGTTTCAAGGCTTCTGAATAGCTTTGCCTGGTTGTATCAGGGGTTATGTTCTCTGTCATGTCTCTCTCTCGGTATGTTTTTGCAAATAAGGGACTCTCCACCTTGCTGAAATCTCTTTGTCCGTTGAAATTCTTGGCAGGAATGTTAAACAGCGTTTTTAGAGATCTCGTGCAAAGGCACTCAGCAAGCTGAAGGTGCTCACGAGCTGTACTAAAACATGATATAACACAGCTTTCAAGGCATCAGGTCCCTGTGAGGGGCTCAGGTGCTGAACCCTCCCCTGCCTCCCCTCTCCAGGTTCACGAGTACGTCGACAACCAGCACATCGCCAGCAACCTGACGGTGCGTGTGAGCCCCGACCTGCTGAAGGCTGGGGCCATGTGCCGCGTCTCCAACAACCTGGGGGACAGCGAGAAGCACATCCAGCTGCTGGGTGAGTGTCTGGCACTGCTCTGTGCCCCCGGGAACCCCCCAGCAGTGTCAGTGCCCCTCGCCCGGGCGCCGGCTGTGCCGCGCTGCCGCGGCGGGGCTGAGCTGAGCTCGCTCTCTCTCCCTCCCCTCCTGCTCTTCCAGTGGAGTCCGTCAGGAAAGGTCAGTCTGCTGATGGTGTCCATCAGCCCAGGCTCTGGCAGGAGTCACGTTATCTAGCCTGGGGAGGGAGCTTGGCTGCTGGCTCTGCGCTGCATCTCCCGCTGCTCCTCTCCCTGCCGAGCCGGGAGGGAAGCACAGGCTCTGTTCCCAGCAGTGGGAAAGCTGCCTGCTCGCCCTCACCCACCTCACCCTGCAGCCCAGCCCTTGCTGGGCAAGGAAGCAAAGGGACGGCCTGGTGCCTTGCAGGAATCCCTGCTATCCACCCTCCTGTGGCACATGGGGCATGGCATCCCAGAGCAGACTGTGTTCATACAGAGCGTCTCTGTACTGAGCTCTGCATCCTGCAGGGAGCTGGGCAAGCACTGGGAACTGAGGGAGGGATCCTTTCCTTGCCCACAAAGAGAGGATTGCAGTGGGACAGGCGTTGATTTCTCTCACTCTCCTATTGTGTTCAGCTCAAAAGACAACAGCAGAGAGCCAGGGGGTGATCATCGTGGCCATCATCGTGGCCATCCTGGTGGTGGCCGTGCTGGGCGCCGTCATCTACTTCCTGCACAAGAAAGGCAAGATCCCGTGTGGCCGCGCTGGGAAGCAGGACATGTAAGCACTGCCACCCGCCCCCCCGGGGAGCCCAAGGGGCCAGAGGTGCTTCCTGCCATCGCTCATTGTGCTTCCCCATCTCACTGCACCAGCTGCTCCCTGCACGGGGGGGGGACAGCCCTGGGGTCGGGGGTGTTGCACCGGGGGCTTGGCAGCTTTTCCAGCTTCCCACAGGGCACCGCTCACCCCCAGTCCATGCAGGGAGGCCGTGAGAGGACAGCACAGTGGTAGAGCAGCCGAGGGTCCCCTCCCCGGGGAGGGGCTGGGCGGCCCCAAATCTTCCTGAGAGCCGGAGGCCCCACTCCAGAGCATCCCCTGAGGCGGAGCCCCGGGGCTTGGCCACGTTGCCCCCTCTTCGGGTACCGCAAACCATGTCTCAAAAATTGTCACCTCCCTCCCCTAGCACAAGGCCAGAGGCACGTAAAGACAAGATTGTAGTTGAAGTTAAGTCAGATAAACTTCCCGAAGAGGCGGGGCTCCTGCAGGGCGCCAACGGCGAGAAGAGACCCGGCACTGACCAGGTAGGACGGGGTGTCGGGCACTGCCCTCTTCCCAGGGCCAGGGCTGCTCCTGGGGCTGGGAGCGGAGCTGAGGAGGGATGAGGGTGACCCAGGTAATGCTTTGCTCCCCTCCCAGCACTGCCCACCCTGCATGGGCCTCCATCATCCATCACCAGCGCTCAGAGGGGCCGTGGGAGGGAGGGGAGGTGAGAAAACCGGGATCGCAGCTCCGAGGACACGTGGGCAGCTCTGCCCTGTGCCAGCTCCTGGCACCTCCCGGGAGCACGCTGCTCTGCTTGGCTCTGCCTCCTTCCCTGCTCCCTGGAGCAGCAGCCAGGCTCTCCAGGGGGCCTTGGGGAGAAGGAACCACACAAACCTCTCTGGCCAGGAGTCAGGGCAGAGGCTGCAGGAGTGGGTCCTGCTCAGCACCTCTGAGATGGTCTCTGGGCTCACGTGGTTTCCTCTCACCTGGGGTCGATTGAGCAGCTGTTCCCAGTGCCAGTGCTGGGCCAGCACTGTGCCAAGGCAGGGCTTGCCACGCTCTGGAGCCACGGGATGCAGCACCTGAGCCCTCTTTGCCTTGGGCCAAGAGTTAATCCCTGGTTGTGCCTGCACAGCTCATCCCTCCCCTGCCCTTGGGGTGGTGCCTGGCCACGCTGGGGTGGCCCAGGCTGGCAGCTCCCCCCCATCACCTTGGGGGTGTCACTAACACACCTGCAGCAGAGCATTTGAGCTTGTGTTCATCCCTAACTGTTTATTTTTATCCCCCCTCTCTCCCTCTTTTTTTTGTCTGACCGAAGAGCGAAAAATACATCGATCTGAGGAACTAGAGAGGAGACCTACTAAGTGCTTTCTTCCTTCAAACCTTTCCTGCTCTTGGATTGCCTTCTCCCACCCCTGCTCCAGCACCTGGGGGGGCACAGCCAGAGGCCACTGGTGTGTCCCAGTGCTGAGCCCCAGCATGCAGGGGACACCTCCCTGACTCACCTGTCCGATACCTCAACCGTGGGCTTGCAGGTGTTGCCTTAGCAAAGCTGGACTTGCTTTACTACTCCAGAGAAGCCACAGCAATATTAGGAAGAAATATCCCATTAAGCTACTTGGTGGAAGGATTTGAGGCTTTTTTTCCCCCCCCCAGGTAATCTGTTCTGTACATGTGTGGGAAGGGTTTGATGCGTTGGTTTTTTTTTTCCTTCCACCCCGAACTTGCTCGGAGAGGCTGTTGGAAGGTAATTTTTGGGATGAGCTGTAGTGGTGTGGAGGTTGGAGGAGGAGAAGTGGACGTGGGGTGTGTCAGGGCGGTGTTTGGGGAGGTTTTAGTGCTTTGATTTGCCTTTGAACTGTCTTGGTTAAGCTGTGCAGGGAGGGAGCTCCCCGACAGGGAGCTGTGATCCCACGGGAGGAGAGGAGCTGGCAGAGCAAGGATGGGGTGCCCATCTCCAGCCACGTGCCAGACCAAGGTTGTCTGGTTTGTACGTGAGGGGCAGGGCTTCCCTCACCCCTCAGAATTGGGTTTTTCAAGGGGGGCTGCCCAGCAATGGCAGAAACCCCTCAAACTTAGAACTAGTACCAGACCAGGGCCAGTCAGTGATGTCTCAGGGTTTTTTATTTTTCTTGCCAGCCCCAGGTAAAACTGGTTTATTCCTGTGCTTTGGCGGCACAGGCTGGTGGGGAGGGGAGAGGGGGCCAGAATGTGCCTTTAGCTCCTGCCATGGGGTCAGAAGGTGCCTTTAGCTCCTGCCATGGGGCCAGAAGGTGCCTTTAGCTCCTGCCACGGGCTGTGCCAGCCTCCCACCCGCGGCTGGGGCTCTCTCCTGCCTCCTCCCAGAGGGCTCAGCCCCTCCTGCCTCTAAATCCCTGCCTTCTGAGCTCTGCTGCCCACAAGCCTTGGCCCCTGCAGTGCCAGGGGCACCGTCCCTGTGCCACCGCCCTGCCCGCGGGGACCCCTCCCCGCCTGCTACACGTGGTGTCCCAGCAAAAGCTTTGGTTTATATATATATATATATATTTTTGTTGGACTTGTGTGTACATTTTCCATAAGTTTTGTCTCATACTTGCAAGGTTGTTTTTTTTCTTTTTGGTTTTTGTTTGTTTTTTTTTTTTATATATATATATGTGAAAATAAAGTACAAATTCAAGGCTGAGTTTGGAGTTTGTTCCCCCCCCCCCCGGGGGGGTGGGAAGGGCAGAGGGTCTCCCCCATCATTCCTTCATCCCATCGAGGATCTAACACGACATATTTATACCCCTGTAGCTGCTGATAAATGTAATACACCAGGAACTATCAGTACTAATAAATCTACTAATTATTCTAATAGATAATCATAGCTTTAGATGGTAATATGTGATTATGCTACAAGTGGTGGTAGATACTAAAAGAGAATATTGTCAATAAAATGCAATAGATCCCAACTGTAGAACCTATTGATAGTTGTTTTAATAGCTAATATATAAAAAATAATATATATAATATAGCTAATATAATTATATATAATAATATAGATAATATACTAATAGTTGTATTAATAGCTAATATAGATCCTAATAACTGATCACAGATAAATCAATAACTAGATTGATTTGTTCTGATGGAATTGATTTATTCTGATAGAATCTAGACATTACAGTAGATAATTGTATTAATTAGCCACCACAGATGCTAATAAATATTAATGGTTTTTCCCTTAAAGAATTTAATAGATACTGTTATTCATATCTTAACTACTTTAGTTCCCAGTATCTTATTGATAATATATCTTATTGATAATATACCTTATTGTAATATGTCTTATTGATACATTCTGATGGATTTTAATGGATAATTTTTAATTGATGGCAATAACTGCTATGAACACTAAATACAAATTGGTAGTTAATTTATTGGATGCTGACAGTAATAGCTTTTTAATAGAGAATTTCAACAGTATCATGTGATTAGGAGAATCTTTTAATAGAAAAAAATATAGTACAGGATTGTATTTGTAACTACTAAGTGTATTTATAAGTTAGTTCTAATAATTTTAATAGATAATTGCATTAATAACTACCACTGATAATTCCAAGTGGATTCTGTTACACATTCTGCTAAACTATTGTATTTTTCCCTAAATGAACTACTTAAAGAACAACAATATTTTTAGACACTGGTAGATTATATAAGAAAAGATCTTTGTGTCAGCTGTTTTAGATACTAATAAATCTACAAATACATTCTCATAGGTAATTTTAGGACCAGCCATAACTACTATTAGAGAACTATTAGATTTTAATAGATACAATATTGGCTGAAATAGCTGTGGGTTATCACTATATTGAATAATTGAATTAATAATAGTAAATGTTATGGTCTGTAGTAGCTGTTAATATTTTAGACTAATGTAGTCAATAAATAGGATTATCTGTTAATCACAGCTGTTAAAAATGAGAATAATGGTAAAATCAACTATCTTAGGGGACTCAACAAATACCTCTATGAGTAGCTCCTGTAGATACTAATAATTATTCATCAATAATTGCAGTATTAAATTGAGCAAGTTCTATCAGAGAATTATATTTTCAGGCTGTGGTAGACAACAACAAGACCCTAATGAATAAATTCTGTTGCTGCAGTGGTACCTGGTTCTACCACAGAACTGTGGTAACAGCTCTGGGATGTGCTAATAAACACTAATAAAGCTAAAAAACTAATATTGCTCATTAAATATTAATAAAATTAGACCTCAGACCTTGGACTCCACTTCACTGGGCTGACGCTCCTTGATCCACTGTCCCCACGTGCCCCCTCTCATTTGGCCCCAGTTGATATTAATTAACCCCATGGAGCCCTCTGTGAACCCCTGTGTCCTCATTGGACCTCGTGAACAGTGATCAGAGACTAAAATGAACTCAAGAAACCCCCCAGTGACCTCATTTAACCCCAAAATTCAAATTTGCAGACTCATATGACCTCAAGTAACCCCTCTGTGACCTCATTTGACCCCAAAATTTAATTTTCAGACTCAAGTGACCTCAAGTAACCCCACAGTGACCTCATTTGACCCCTTGACCTACAATCAGAGACTAAAATGACCTCAGGTAACCCCTCTGTAACCTCATTTGACCCCAAAATTGAATTTTTCAGACCCGAATGACCTCAAGTAACCCCTGTGACCTCATTTGACCCCAAAAAATCAAATTTTCAGACCCAAATGACCTCAAGTAACCCCAGTGACCTCATTTGACCCCTGGACCAATTATCAGAGCCTCAAATGACCTCAAGTAACCCCTCTGTGACCTCATTTGACCCTAAAAATCAAATTTGCAGACTCAAATGACCTCGAGTAACCCTCCAATGACCTCATTTGACCCCTTGGATGAATTTTTGGGGACCAAAATGACCTCAGGTAACCCCCATGTCATTGACCCCAGTCACCCTCATTAGACCCCACAGTGACACCTTTGAGGGGTTTCCCTCGACTTCAATTGACCCCCCTAAATTATCTAATTAGATAATTTTGGAGTCATTAGACATCCTTGGTATGTAATATATCCATATATTAATATATATGAATATATAGTCCTGTATGTTCAGCTCCTCTAGGTTCACATATATTAATATATTCAATTGTATATAATTCTATTCTGATATTTATTATTAATGTAGAATATATCCTACACTAAGATCTATATAATTCTAGAAATGCTATGCAATGTAAAAAAAAACCCAAACCTGTTAATGCCCTTTTTGGTCTTGATGGATTATAGATTTTGTTCATTGATTCTCTTAGAATATGTTTTATTAGGTTGAAATTTGTGTAAATCTTTCCTCCCTCTGTTTGTCAGTATCCACTTGAATTTAACAGATAATTGTGGCAATGGTTATAAAATAGCTATTTTATTTCTATATATAAAAAAAGAGTGGTTTATATCTATATATAAAAAAGAGTATTTTATATCTATATATAAAATATATATAGTATCTATTTTATATATCTATATCTAAAAGAGTATCTATTTTATATGTATATATAAATATTTTATATATAGATTTTTATATGTATTTATTTATATTTTTATATAGAGATAGGTATTTTATATATAGATATATAAATATAGATACATATAAATATATAAATATAGATATAAATATAGATATATATAGATATAAAATATAAAACAGATCCAGGAGATTGGACATCTCAGGCTGGAGCAGGAGATTCTTCTTCCCAGGACTCACAGAACCAACACAACACACACCATGTGCTACAACAAAGGAAATTTTATTTAAAAATAAAACTTTGTTTTGTTTTCTTTTTTTTTTTTTCTTTACTGACACAGGTGAATGAAATCCCAAACAAAGAAGCTCTTAGTGGGCAGCATACAAGAATGGAAACAATTAATAAATAACATTAGTATAACCTCTAAACATTAACAATGCCTCTGCAAACAAAATGAGGACTTTAAACCAAGTGAACCTTAAAGCTCAGCTACTCTCTGTAAGAATATTTACCTTCTGTTTTTCCTTATTCTTTACAGATCTGAAAGGATTAAATACTGCTATTATAATTTTATATTAATGACACTATTATACTTTTATTTTTTTAAAATATTTTGTGAAAATCTCAACATTTTTTTTTTTTAACACTGATATTTTACAAATCGGCATTTTTGTCATTTGAGAGAAAGAACAACAGTGACAGCAGTTCCTCCTCCTCCACTGGGAATTTTTTCACAAAAAAAAACAAACAAAAAAAAGATTTCTGTGAGGAACTGTAAAAATAAAATAAGTGTCCTTATTTTCCACTAATTTTTTTTTTTTAAAATGGCACCTCGGAGGAAGCGCCCTGGGAGTTGCATTTTTTTTTTTTTTGCTGAAAAATAAAATAAAAATAAAATAAAAATAAAATTAAAATAAAAATAATAATTGAAGGAAAAAAAAAAGAAAAAAAAACAGAACAAAAAACAAACCCAAACCCCCTTTACAGTAATGACCCTGCCTTGGGATTAGCTACAGTAACATCCTCAGTCTAGTGCAGGGAGCAGCATGCTGGGCTCGGGCTCCCCGGGGGGGAAGGACATGCACACGGGGTGTTTAGAGGGAAATATTTGGGATTTCTGCCCTGAATCCTCCTGTCCTGGCACAGCCCTGGCCCGGGCACGTCCCCAACCCACAGCTGAAATGCTACAAAACATAGAGAAAGAGCTGAAGTGGCAGCTGCCCATCTCTCCTGCTCCTTTTTTCACCCCTTTCAAAGCAGTTTCACACAGCTGGTCCAGCTCTTC